TATATATATACAGATATACAAAATATATATTATATATCCCTCCTCCCTCTCTCTCTGTTTCTCTCTTTTCTTTTCTCGCTCTCTCTCTGTCTCTTTCTACCTCTCTCTTTTTCTCTCTTTCTCTTGCTCTTTCTCTCTCCCTCTTTTCTCTGTCTCTCCCCCCTCCCTTCTCCCCCTCTCGCCCTCTCTCTTCCTCTTACAGCTCTCTATCTCTCTCTCCTTCTCTCACACTCCATGTACCCCTACCCCCTCCCCTCCCACGCCCGCTAACTCTAGCGCTCAGTACGCTGTGCTTTCATTTTTTTTCTTTTCGCTAGCGGGTAGTTGGAGGGCATTTCTGATATGTCCTACTCTTCTTTTCTTCCCTCCTCTCTTTTTCCGTTTGCCTGTCTTGCGTTTTTTCCATCCTCTTCATGGGCATTATGAGTCGATGTCCTTGGCATACAAAACAGATGAATATTTTATGTAGTGGTGATATTACTTTCCATACAGTTTACTTTTTCTGTCCTCCAATACAGGGTGCCCATTGCCACGATCGGTTCGGTTCTGTTTGCTCGCCAAATTGAGGAAGCAAAGCGGCTATCGTAGAACAAACCTGTTACTCGACTCGTCACCTCAAAAACAAACGCGTTTGCTCATATGGGACGCCCATTGGGCGGTTGGGTCTGGTCGGGGAGATGTGCAAGACAGATTGAGGGCGCAAAGAGGCTATCGTGGCACAAGCCGATAGCGCCCGACTCGAAAACAAACGCGTTTATTTTCAGGCATCGAGTGGAGCGATCGCTCCTGACCCGAACCCAGACCCGACCCGATCTCATCGGCATTGGGCACCCCTGTGTTACATGTGACGAGTCGAGCAATCGTTTGGCGATCGGTTTGTCGATTCCTCAATGTATTATACCAAGAGGTATCGAGGGGAGATATATGCAGTTGTTTGACGTGGGCCAGCTGGTGGGCTGCTGTTTGAATCCTCGTCATGGTGTTCCATCCATCTTGTCCGGTCGGTTGTTGGTGCGAGTTCTGGATGGAGTGGTTTGCTCCTTCTTTTCTACTACCAAACATATCTATCGTCCTTATCTTTCCTTCTACTTTTCTTTGTATGTTACTGATCTCCACTACCAACTCTAATAATCTTCGGCACTTCAGGTATAGTAAAATCTATTTGTGTTTCAAGAGCCGTAAATCTCTTCACTAAAACTTGACAAACTTCCGCAGGTGGCTGATTTCCTTACCTGCGTTCTTTGGGATTGCACAGTTGGTATTTCTGACAGCGTTTCCTGATTCGCCACGTTACAAGGTACTGACGTTTAGCTAGCGTACTTCTCTTGTTTCCCTTTTAGCTCTTTTAGGGCTCAAGTGTTTTCATCTCATTTACTTTTAGTGTAGTAGGAGTTTTACAGCACTTGGAACACATTAAGGTCCTTTAAGTGCCAAAGGTTAGAAATGTTACAAGGGAGTTTACAAACGCTAACAAGGAGGGGAATTTCCGTTTGTACAGGCAATTTAATAATGTGTCATGACGCGGTGAAATGAGACGCAAGGTCTACCTTACCCATTTTACAAAGTGACCTCAGCTTTGCGAGAAACAGCTGGCAACCGTGGCTGAGCAAAACTCTGATAAATAATCTGTAGCTGGTTCAAAACAGAAGTCTGCGACCGATCATGAATAAAGCCCAGTCCTCACCGATTGAGGCCCTTCGGGAGTCCCAAGCATTGAGTCTACCATCAATGCTAACTGCCTCCGATTAAAAGAGAAGGCTCTGCGAAAGAACAACTACTACTCCCGACGAATTGCGGCAACGGAACAAGTGCACAGACTCCTAAAGGGACGCAGAGATTTCCGAAAAGGGCCGAAGACGCCAGCAAAAAGAACCCCCATCTATTCAACTGAGAGAGGAGGCCCATTACTTATTTCTAAACAAGGTCGTCGGAACGAGGAATCATCCCCGACATCGTTTTCCCCCCCACCTGTAAGGCATATGCGGAAGGAGTGACTCCAGTGTGGAGATCCGAAGCGATGTTGTTTGTTGAGCACGAGGGCTTGGCGTACAGTAATAACTACACTGACGGCTCGGCGAGTGCAGGAACAAAGGATGGCGGCTCTGGGGTCGTCATCACAACGGATGACCCGTCCAACCCGACCGTTGTCGAGACACTGAGGGAGAAAGGCACTCTATTCACGTGCTCTTTCGAGGAAGAGAGGAGAGCCTTGGAAATGGCCATTAGCTCGATTGGCAAACAGTGAGATGAATCCAACTCGGTCGATATCTTAACTGACAGTTAATCGCTGTACATTGCACTAGTGGAAACGTCACCATCCCTCGACCAAATGCGACTACGCATAAATAATACAACACCTCAATCCACGATTCAGTGGATCCCTGTTCACTGCGAGATTCTCGGCAACGATCTTGCTGATAGTAATGCCCAGGCCGCCAAATTGCATATGAAAGTGCTTGCGCCCAGATAAAACAAAAGACCCTTCAATATCCCATACGTGGACGAAGGAAATATACTGGGCAATTTCCTTAAAACGGGAGGTTCAAATTAAGTCCTGCAGCAAACAGCCACTACTGGAAAAGATCAGTACCGGTCACTGCTCTGGTCTGCAGGCTTACAAAAATAGAATACACAAAACATCGGTCCCAATCTGTCCATCGCGGAGTGATGAGCCCCAAGATTTGGAGCACTGGCTGCAGAGATGCCCCGCCACGGTCTGGATGAGGTATCTCTTTGGGGAGGATTCAGGGAGGTTGGGGCACGTTGCTCGGGGCTCCAATCATTTATCGAACGGATAGGCTACCACACAAACATACCTACCTACCTACCTACCTACCTACCTATCTACCTACCTAACTACCTATCTACCCACCTTCCTACCTTCCTACCTACCTACCTACCTACCTACCTACCTACCTACCTACCTACCTACCTGCCTACCTACATACATACATACATACATACATACATACATACATACATACATACATACATACAACAACAACAACAAATCATCAGCAAAAAGCAGCAGCAACCATAAGAACAACAGAAACACATACGAAAACACCAGCAAGGAAATAAAACTAACAAGAATCGGTTCCCCCACTCGTCATCAGGTGATGATGAATGACTCGCTGGCGGCTGACCTCATTCTGAAAGACCTACGTCAGATTCCCGACACCAGCAGAGAACTCTCCGAGATAGAAAGATCTGTGTCGGTGAACAGGCCAGTCCACGGTGGGTCATGTCCATAGACTTGTTATATATACACATTTTGTACTATCCAAGACTGAGCACTCATGATACCGCAGTTCCGGTTCACCATAAAGCTTACCATTTGACTCTATTTGGCGGAATGAAAAGAAGGGCAAAGAGGGAAAAGTTGCGCACGCACTCGACTATTTCGAAACTGCTGTTTCGCCCTTCATTTGTGCGGTCCTTTGTGCGCACCAGCGCAGAAAAAGTTTTATAGTAGCAAAGATAGTACAAAACAAGATGGGCCACTCAGCCAAAAAAGTGTCCGCCAGAAGTTCGCTCTTTGCTTCAGATGGCGCTGCAGTCTGTTTTGAAACTCCCTTTCATTTCTCCAGAAGAAGAATAGGAATAGCACCCCCTTGCGTGCGCAGATGGACTGCTGTTCATCAGCTGTTCGGGTTCGTTCAGTGCGGAGTTTTATTATTTTTATTTTAATGACCTCTCGCCTTTCATTCTAAAGTCAAATTAAACGGAGAAATCAGTCACCCTTTCCTCCGGAAGAGGTTTTTTTGTCAGCGTAACCATTTTTAAAAAGCGTTCTTCCGAAATTTTAATTAATATTTATTCAAAAACTTGTTAGGTTCACTTCGATTTTTTAAAACACAATTAGGGTAACTCTGTTCGCAAAGGGTGCGCATTTGTGAAGAGGGCGCCACCGAATTTTGAGGACACTTTTCTTTTTGGCTCAAAGAGAGGAGTGGCCCCTCTTGTTATGTAGACTCTTTGATAGTAGCAAAGAGTGGCGGTCAATCTAGTACCCACTCTAGGATCATTATACTATAGTACAATAATAAGTCTCTAATCCTTCCAGCACACTGCCAACAAAACGACAAAGCGATGTAACAGCACATTCATGATTAAACTTTTTTAAAAAGAAAAATGAAAAACAAAACAAAACAAAATACCCCCCGCCCCCCCCCCCCCAAAGGAAAACCTTTGATGCCCAGCTAGTCAAAAGTTACAAAGTATTATGTGTCACGACACGGTGGAATCAGGCTCTCGTCAGTTTTTCTACATACAGTTATAGGTATCAAAGTTAAGCTTGTTCATTCATCTTGGTTTCGATGGTGTGTGTGAGTGTGTGTGTGTGTGTGTGTGTGTGTGTGTGTGTGCGTGCGTGTGTGTGTGTGTGTGTGTGTGTCTGTCTGTGTGTGTGTGTGTGTGTGTGTGTCTGTATGTGTGTTAATGTGTGTGCGAGGGGGGGGGGGGATTACATTTGCGAACGTTATATAATACATGTATAAATATTATTTTGTATCTTTCTATCTATCTCTCTCTATCTATCTATATATATATATATCTCTCTCTTTCTATCTATCTATCTATCTATCTATCTATCTATCTATCTATCTATCTATCTATCTATCTATCTATCTATCTATCTATCTATCTATCTATCTATCTATCTATCTATCTATCTATCTATCTATCTATCTATCTATCTCTTACCTTTTCCTGGCGCATTGTGCCCAGCTCCATTTTTAACAACCTTCTAGATCTGTTCCAAGTGGGTGGTACCGAAACTGTGCCCGAGCCGATTTTTTATTTTATTTCGGAAAGGTTTATTTGCCCGCTTTAACGTACACATGGGCTGTCCCAAAAAATGCTGTTTTGAGAAAATCGAAATTAAACTTTTTGGGCCCTTGTTCAGTTTCTTTAAAAGATGGAGAGTCTTCTCTATAACCAAACAAATATACACACCAATGAAACAGAACTTCTCCTATTGGTAGGGCAGTGCCCACTAATGGTGTAGGCCAAAATTTCTAGAAACCTCCGAAATCTGGGTTAGCCTGCTTGTCCTTAAATACGACCATTTATTCTTTTTGCACTTTTCTAACCAAAGTTTCGTTCTCCTTTATAATATCCACTTTAAGAAGCATATTAATTATTACATTTCTTCTCAGGCTGTAAAGTGATCAAGGAGATCGCCGTCACTCCGCACGTGCGCAAAGCTGTGCTCACGGGCTGTCTGCTGGTGGTCCTGCAACAATTCTGCGGCATCAACGCTGTTATGTAAATCCTGTTGTCGCTACTTCAGAGTTTCAAAGTTCTATCTACTCAGTACCTAGTTTTGAGAAATTGTACGTCAAAAATGTTGAGTTTCACTATTTAAAGAAATTGTAAAATTATGCTGAGCTCTTTCGTTAGCAACTCTTTGAACATATCTTGAAAACGACTCTGGATAATCTGACGATTTTGATAGAGCAGATAGAGAACATAATTTGGTTTCTGATCCCATGGTCTTGGTAACTCAAAATGGCTAAAAATGTCAGACAGAACTTCGTAATTCTCAGGTAGCGTATTGTTGTTCTTGATGTTTTACACAATCTTTTGACTCTTTTTAGAAAGGGGGGGGGGGGGGGGCAGAAATTGACCTGACAACGTGATCTCTATAAAAATTCTTTAGTTCTCTGATTGCTGAGCCTTCTAGAGTTATGATCGTGGGTGGTTGGAGGGCGCTCTGGTGTTCCTATCAAACATATGTCGTCCTTATCTCTCCTCCTTCTTTTTGTGTTTGTTACTCTCTTGTAACGCCTCAATCTTCGGCACTTTTAAATGACCATGTGTGTAAGAGCCGTAAAACTCTTACTAAATCTAAAAATGTAATTGTACAGAGTTTTACGCCTCCATTTACACAATCTACAATTTTAGAGACCGACTGTTTTGACCCTGTCTGTCAGGGCAATCCAGGACAGACAGGGATACGGCGTCTTAGCAAAAACACAGAGATACTTGATAAAAAATCTCCGCGGCTCAACAGAAAAATATCCCCATACAAAGATCGAACTCAAGCTCTCTGTAGGACAGCTTACCGCTACGACCCTTATGCTGAAAATGCCTACAGAAGCCCCCGCCCCCCCCCCCCCCCCGAAAAAAAAGACACACAGACTGACAGAGACAATTGATTCGCAGAAAGTACAGGCATACATAGACGAACACAGATACCCCAACCCCCACCCCCAAGCTGCTCAAAAAGTTACCACTGTACTCTATCTATCTATCTATCTATCTATCTATCTATCTATCTATCTATCTATCTATCTATCGTGTTCTTCGAAAATAATTATTGAGTCTCACTGAGCCTCTCACCAAATGCTGAGCGCCAAAGAAAGCACAAATAAAAAAGAACTACAAACGAGCATAACAACATAGGGTTCCAAACATATTGTCCATGCGTCCCCTTTGGTGCTTACTTACTTACTTACTTGGTTGGAGGATAGGCATCATCTCAGGCGCCCAATGCCATAGCTGTTCCTTCCTCCTCTCCAGGATACATGAAAGGGTCTGCTTGCTGATCGTGCCAGTTATCAGCTGGTTGGATATTCTTCTAGCTTTTCCACGCGGGTTGCTTGCTGTCAATTCCCGATCCTCATGAGACACCATCTTCCTTCAGTCTGTCTATTGTGTGTGATGTGGTGCCTTAATCTTTTCTGTGGTCATTGTAACATGCTGTCAATGCTGCCATAAATGTGGGTGGATCTAACAATTACGTGGTGCCCCCAATCTCTTGTATTCTGCAGTTTCTGGATTTCCCACACTCTGCGAAACGCCGGGTTCAACCTAGGGAACGTAAACTTTGGTCTGCTGAGCGCGGCTTGCAACATGTTGGCCACCGTCCCAGCTTTCTGGATGGTGGAGAGAAATGGCAGAAAACCGACGTTGGTGATGAGTTATGTGTGTGAGTCTTATAGTTTTGGGGAAAAAAATTGTAAGCGTCTTACTTACGGCTTTTGCAACACAATTAGGTTACGTAGGTGGGGAAGATACAATGTGTCATTCGGGAGTAACATCATTATTCAATAGCTCCCGAATTTGATAGAAAATTTCTCCAGTCACCTCCTTTCACCTCCTGTCCTGCTCATGCTCTGACTTCTGCTTTCGTCTCCACTTTCTGCCACCTCCCTCCCCTCTCCCTTTGCCCCCTCCTTCTGCAGCCTTTCTATTGCCACCCCTTGGCTCCTTCTCACTGCTGTCTTTCAGCTACACCTCTAATCTTAAGGAAGGTAAAGTCTAACACCTAGTCTTCTCGAATAAGGTCGAAAAACTCTGGGAGGTCTTTTGTGCAAGTTATAGACCCCTTGGTGGTCTTAAAATCGAAAGGAGTAGGCTTCGGCCGCCACCTTGACAAAATTCAAAATTAATTCCTACTACACTGAATATGCTTAATGTGTCCCACGCGCTCATATATGATCTCAGGCAGTTGTGAGAGCCGTAAAACACTTGCCCCTCCAAAAAAAGGTGAAAAAAACGTATCCTATTCTGGACCATAAGGGATCTTTAACGTGCGTAACTTGCACACGGGACCTCCGAGATTTTTCGACTTTGACCAAGGAGGTTTGGTGTTAGACCTTACTTACAATAAGACCAGAGGTGTGGCTGAAAGACAGCAGTAAGAATGAGCTAAGGAGTAGCAGTAGAAAGGCAGCAGAAAGATTCAGGAGCCCAGAGGAGGGGGCAAATGAGGTGAGGGGGTGGAAGCAGAAAGTGAAGACGGAGGCAGACGACAGAACATTATTAGAGAGCAGGAAAGGAGAAAATTATAGTGAAGAAAACTTTCCGCCGCTACCCGGATTCGAACCTGGGACCTATTGAATGGGAGGCGAACACCATAACCAAAGAGAATCTACCACGAGAGCACCTGACTCCCTTTTGATCTTGAGATTCTCTAAAAATGAACTCTTACTTAAATAGGGCGTCGATATGCAGTTGTCGTACACAGGCCATGTGAGTTGGTGTTTGGCTCGTTTTGCTGCTCCTTCGACGGCAATTTTTACTGATGTTTTCTATTATTGGCTCAACACCTTTGATGTCCATTTACAAACACATTTCCGTATAGATTTTACTAAATATCTTTGATTATAGACACAAGAAGTGTAAATTTTCACTTTCCAATTTCTCTCAAGCCATAGAAAATCATCAGACTTTGGCGGATATTTTCCCCCTGAATTTACCCATGAAACGATGTGACCCCCTCCTCCTTCAATCACAAATATCTCGACTTTTGTTCAAGATAGCTGGGTAGTTATTTATTTTTTTTTTAAACGAAACCAAGACAAATGAACAAGCTTTATGTTGATACCTATAACTTTATAGGCCCAAAAGCTGACGAGCGCCTGATTTCACCATGTCGTGACACATAATATATTGTAGGCCTTGGAGAGGGGCTGTTATGGCCCCATTCTCATTACTTGTCCAAACCACCTTATTTACTGCTTCTAAATGTACTTTTGCTCGATTCGACCCCCACCTAATGCCTGCTGATGTCTTCCCTTCTTTTTCCTGTCTCTTTTTCTGACGTTTACTGTTTCTCTGAGATACACATTGTAATTCATGTCACATATTCCTTTGCTTTGTTGGGGGTCCAGGTTCGGCAGTGACAGCCAAGAGAAGATTTCCTCGGTTGGCCTCGATAACC